CCTGTGTGCCTTGGTGTGCTCCTCTTTGGGCTGATCCTGTGTGGAGCTCTCTGCGCTTCCTGGACTTGGGTGACTGTTCCCTTTCCCAAGCTGGGGACTTTTTCAGTGATTATCTCTCCAAACGATTTCTCAGGTCCTTTCTCCCTCTCTTCTCTTTCTGGGACCCCTATAATGTGAATGTTAGAGTGCTCCATGTTGCCCCAGAGTGCTCTTAAACTGTCCTCATTCCTGCTTATCCTTTTTTCTGTTCTGAAGCAGTGATTTCCAGTAATCTGTCTTCTAGCTCACCGATCTGTTCTCTTGCCTCATTTATTCTATTCTTGGTTCCTTCGGGTGTGTTATTCATTTCAGTGATTTTATTCTTCAACTCTGTTTACATATTCTTTATTTTTTCAAACTCTTTGCTAAAGACTTCACTCTGTGCATCTATACTCCTCTTGAGTTCTGTAACATCTTGGCCATCATTATTTTAAACTCTTTCTTGGATAAATTGCCTATCTCCTCATCACTTACTTCTTCTTGGTTTTATCTTGTGCCTTGGCCTGGGAGATATCCCTTTGCCTCCTCATATTGTCTGTCTTTCTATGCGTCTGTGGATTCCTTCCACAGGCTTCGGGATTGTTGTTTTCTTATTTCTGGCATCTGTCCCTGGTGGGTGAGGCTGGACTAGAAGCTCATGCAGGGTTCCTGGCAGGAGGAGCCGGGGCCTGCCCGCTGCTGGGCGGAGCTCGGTCCTGGACCTCTGGTGGGTAGCGCTGTGTCTAGAGGCCTTTGTGGCTCAGGAAGCCTGCTGATGGGTGGGGCTGTGTTCCCACCCTGTGTGTTGTTTGGCCTGAGGCTTCCCTAGGGCTGGGTCTTGGTGCCAATGATCCAGTCAAGATGTCAGCCTCCAGGAAAGCTCCTGTAGATGAACACTCCCAGAATGCCCACCACCAGCTTTTATGTCCCCTGGCTGAGCTGCAGCCGTCCCCCACGTCCCCAGGAGACCCTCCAAATCCAGCAGGCAGATCTGGCCCAGGTTCCTGTGAAATGACTGCCTCTGCCCTTGGACCTGGTGCACGTGAGTTTCTGTGTAAGCTTCTCAAGCAAATGGAGTCTCTGTTTCCCCCAGGCCTGTGGGGCTCCCGGAACCAAGCCCTGCTGGCCTTCAAAAGCAGATGTCCTGGGGTCTCC